AACTTTGTTTGAAAAGTATTAATAAACTATAGAGTTGATTCGTACAAGCAATATCGCATCCTGATACAATAGTGATCCAACTGCTCATGGAGGGTAATTACATTTGATCAATGATAGGGGGACCTCATCAAGCACAATTAGTAAGTTAGACTGAATAGACTGAATAGTTATTCTGTAACACTATCTGTAACAGTTGTACTACAATGACAGTTGTATACTAACACTAGCAATGACTCTGCTAAATAATCATTGTCTGGCCTAGATGTTTCCTTTTTCCGTTTGGTCAGTGACCTCAGGAAACATTATATCAATTCAGTTTGTCATGCTTATTCCGTGCTCCAATCAAATTATCCTCTCAGTTATTTTTAGAGTAAATCGACCTCTCATTTCCGTTAAGCTGGCTGTGATGCACTTCGTTGTCATAAAAACAGGTCACTGGTTGTCAAGATGCGCCAAGTCAGACTGTCTCGTGATGAGTCGTGAGGTTTTATAATGAGCAGTCACGTGACTTCCCTTACATTGTAATCTTATTAAGATAAGAGCCCGACCAGCAAACTCTTAATGACATTTTCATCGTAGATTCTAGTATTTTACTAGCTACGTAAATAAAACAATATTCCGTGTTATTGGGCTGATGGTGATAACCACTGGAAAGTGCCGAGTTGCTAAAGATTCCTAAAGATTTATTTGCAGAGACAATGCTACAGTTGTGTTGGTGTAGATGTATACTTCAAGTCTGGAACTAACGAATTAGGGTAGTAGTCCTAAAATAGGTTTCAATATTATCGTGTTACAGAAGTGAGGTGGAATAATGCTCTGCTGGTCAAGTAGTGTGTTACCTCTCGCTATAAAATAATATATTAAATTATCTGATAATTATTTGTACGTGAATGTCGCGCTGAAGTTTAAAGAGGTTAATTGAAAGCGAGTCAAAGATAACGGCTTTAGATTTCACAAAGCAAATAACACAAATTAAACAAAGATTTCAGACGACAACCTTAAAAGCCCGTTCTGCATATCAGTCAGCGTAGTGGTGTTATTTCATTATTACCGAGGCCCTGAGGGTTGCAGTAAACTCATCAATAAACTCATAGTGTTTGCTGGAAATAGAATTTAATTTAGACATTACTTAATCGCTAATAGCTGTTTAGAAGTATATATAGTGTATTTAGAAGTATATGTCGTGTATTTAAAAATATATAGTGTATTTAGAAGTATAATCTAATAATACCTTGGCTTTTGAGTGCTACGCGCTATCATTTAATTTCAATACACTCACTCGACAGAGAGCAAGTAAAAGGGCATGGAAAGTTTTAGCTTCGTAAGGTTGCCCCTTGATGTCAGTTATTTCAGTTATGAGCTTCAATAGAACAAAGGTGATTCTGTCTAAAGGAACGTCGTTGAATTCACTAGGAATGTCGTCCAAGGAGGCCACTTCATTGTGGCACAATGCCCAGGCTTTGTCTCTGTTTTTAGACCAGTTATTTTGATTCTTTGACCCTCCGAATCAGCTGCCAGTAGCTGCAATTGATCTTCACTCAGTGGTCGGATGTTCATGAATAAAACTCGACAGTCACAATCACAAAAATGGTCTGTTCAACAAGGAATCTAGCAACTGACTTATAGCGACTGACTAGTTTGGAAATATTCAAATTTGGGAGCGTGCCAAAGTGTGCAGCATGGTGCGCGCACCTCTCCCACGCTTTCCAGTCACGTGACAAGAATTCTCATGAGAAAATATTCAGACATTGCACGGCATTATCGGTTTAGATGTAGTGCGAGCAGCTCATCAAGGTAACGGGGAGGCTCTGCTGATAATAACCTCCCTTCCCTTGCGGGAAATATCTGTAAATTATCAGCTTTCAGTGTCGACGAGTTTTAGACTTTAGTGCATATATTTCCCGGAAATAGTTATAAACATCTGCTTAAACGCCTACTTACAAAACCAATAAATAAATGCAATATTAATTTATGTTGAATTATAAATATTCAACACAAATTATTAGAATGCAATAATTTTCTTGGGTGAGAAGAAGGCACAGCTTACAGTTACAAGGTGTATAAATACTTATATATTTGGAAGCTTTGTGGTGGTCGAGAAACAACCTACGATTATCTGGATGAAAAACAGAGAACAACCTAGGATTATCTAAATGAAAAACAGAGAACTCATTGACAATCTGGAGACTGACGAAAGCGAAATGGAAAACGGGAATTAGGTATCGAGAGACTTACAGTGCAATTAATGAGTGACGAAGCTAGTGACGTACGCTGTTAATTACATTTTGCAGAGTTGCTTCTTTGAACTTAACCTGATAAACGGATGAAATAAGATCATAAACTGAAGACGAGGTTTAAGGGATTCTGATATTTTGACTTATACTCTTATACACTTTACAGTTTACACTCACTATATTATTACAATAAAGCGTTTACAAAATTATAAAATAACACGAACTGACGGAGGATCCAGGTCTTTAATATAACCTAGTATTCCTTGATCTATTGTACAATACTAAGTACTAAGTAGAGCATTAGTTGTTCGTGGTTCCTAGAACTAAGATCCCGTGATTAAGTATTAAACATTAAATAGAATCACTAGTTAAGAGTCATTAAAGAGCAACACACGGCACTTCACAGGGGACGTTATGTAGAGTTAATGTAATTTCTACACATTAGTGCTGGGTAGAGGCCAACAGTCACTGAGTCATACTGTTAGGTAGGATAGTAAATAGTGGAGGTAGCGACTGTGCCTCTTCCACTACCTCTCTTTACTTATTATCTATACTACTGCCTGCTGTTTACTGTCTTTCCTACATACAACTTAAATCATACTTTGTATTCAGTTTGTAAGCTCTATGCTTACTAAATAGTAAATGAAGCATAAGAGGGATTGTTATCTGGCAATTGGCATGGTAAAATGTCGAAGTTGATGAATATTTTGTTTTAAGAAAATCGTATGATAATCTTAAAACAAAGCCCAGCAAGGTAAGAACGACAGTTGTCAAGAAAGTGCCTGCAACTTAAGAACTTACAACTTATTATTGTAATCAATCTCCTAGTGGTAAGGGATGTGTAGTCATAGTTATTAATACAACTTCTTGTTGTTATTTAGCTCACAGCTACTCAATTAGATTATCTTGTTTTAGTCTATAAAACTGTGGATCTGGGGCGAGAGTGTAGACTTATTAAACCTTACTCTTAACCAATCAGAGAGCTGTATTCTAGACACGTGACATAAACCAACCAATCAGAAAGCTGCATCAAAATAAACCAACCAATCGCAATTCACACAACTTAATCCAAACCTTGTAATAAAACGTCCCATATTATCACCTGAAGGGTTGATTTATTCAGAAATAAGTTAACATTATTACCTGGCCCAGATCAGTCTGTTTTGATTTATAGTAGCCAGCTCAATAATAGGTGTAGTATTACTGACTCAATGTTTTTACTCTAACAATAGAAGGTTAAATGAGCTGTGGCGTCAGATTGAAACACCTTGATTGCAGGATCACGTCTTGGCAGCTCTCCAAATCAGGTTCCCGATACAGGAACAAATATTGCAATACTTGCTAGTGATCGCTCCGATGATCAGGCACTTTAAGGAACATACCACCATTATAGGTGCCAAGTAGGAATAGTGCCAAGTAGGATCAGTGCCAAATATAGCAATATATGGATTGCTACCCACACCAGGGTTAGAGATATCCTTACAAATTCATTTCAACTTTTCAATACACTTAGAATCGATTTTTCCGTACAAAATGTACACAAGGGTTTGTGTTTTGCCGACCACAGTAACTGAAACTATTGAGCAAACTATTACAAGTCTGTCTGCAGGTTATGACACTCTGCTGTAACTGATTCCAGGGAACGTTGCTAGGTGATGTTAACATGGTTACTACTGTCTAGAGTGTGCACTAGTTCTCGGAAAGAGTCCTCTATTTCCACTACACTTACAGCGCAGTTTCTACAGAACGAAGTGTGGAGTATTGATGGAACCAGGTACTGTACCTGGATCCGTCAGTAACTGATACAGTCACCACACTAAAGCAATCTAATATGGTATTAAGGTGCAACTATTCACTCACCTGATTGTTTGCAGAAATCGTCTAGAACTCGATTATACCTTAGAAACTAGCCCAAATGCCACCCTTACCGTCATCAGGCCCAGATAATTAATATACACGTGCAAATAAAGAACAAACACATCATTGAATTTGTTTGGTAAAAATACATCATTGTTATATTTTTAATATTGATTTCTCATCTTTATAATCAGTATAATCAGTATATAAACCAGTGGCGTAACATTGCACATGCCACATTACACCATGCCTTAGCATTACGTATATAAAGAAAAGCACTCACAACGAGAAACTGTTCCATTATTCTAATTTTAATTCTAATCGATACATACACTATATTTTTATATTTACACCTTATTAGGCCATTTGTATTTATTACTTTATTACGCCTTTTTTATTATTTTCGTTGTGTAATTCTGACTAGATGAGGGACTTAACAGATGGTGGTGCAATGAAAATGACAGAGCATGGTCCGAGGCAAGATTAGATTGGCATGCCGATTCTTATTTTATACCAGGTATCGTGAATAAAAACTTTTATAGGAATTAAACTTGACACTTATCACTCCTTCTGTATAAAGCATTTTGAAAAGCAGGTGTATATTTTACCTAATTCCCTTGCACGTGTAAATTAAGAGATACACCTGCTTAATAAGAATATTAAGAAGAGGATGTATACGCATGGCTGAGAACCACAGTAACGGCTCAACTAGTGGCTGTCATGGTGCCTGCATCCGCCACTGGTTAAACTGGTTAAACTTATTATATAATTATATTGAATTTGTTATATTTCTAAAATTATTTTGTCTCACCTGTCACTTGGCATTATCTCAGGTCCTTCTGACGATTACTTTCCTAACTGATTTAGAATTTATGACTCTAGCGTGTCAACAAAACGAAAGAAATAATTCATACAAATAATCATTTAATGTAATAATTAAACACAATCTAAATTAGATGAGAGCTTTATAATTATAGTATATAGCACAATAACCTACGAATATGGTAGTAGTAGTAGTAATAGTAGTAGTAGTAGTAGTAGTAGTAGTAGTAGCAGTAGTAGTAGTAGTAGTAGTAGTAGTAGTAGTAGTAGTAGTAGTAGTAGTAGTAGTAGTAGTAGTAGTAGTAGCAGTAGTAGTAGTAGTAGTAGTAGTAGTAGTAGTAGTAGTAGTAGTAGTAGTAATAATAATAGCAGTATACTATACCATTGCACAAATACAGCAATTATCTCTGTCTGTAATACCTTAACGGCATTAAGATTTTCGGACACTATTAATCATATTAATTCTATTATTTAACACAAAATTTTTAATCGCAAAATACAGAAAAATGAAATGAATCGGTAAAGAATGTAAAACTGATGTTGAGCACTTTAAGTCATGATATCATATAATGAACTCTAACCTCTGAAAGGAACTTTACTAATTCATTCAAAACACCGAGCAACAAAGTGTATATTAACAGAGATACTCCCTAGCTCTCCACAGCGTAATGTAAGGTAATGTAATTTACGGGACGAAATTCTATTTGTGGATCTTATTACAACACTAAAGTGAACACTATGTTCCCAAAAACAAAATTTCACTTTCACTTTTGAAAATATACCTAAGTGAATGAAAAATTTGAAGTGTGAATTATCTTCAGCAGCTGTTAGTGTTAAAATTATCGCAGATATAAGTCCTTTATAAAAATCACATTCCTTTGAAACATGGAAAACTTAGCAAATAGTGTGAACTTCTGAAAATATTTAAAACCTCGTCTCTTTATTCATTACATTATTCATTTATCTGATTTAGCTAAAATATCAACTTGTTTTTGTTGTTATAACTTTACAACTACTATCAGATTTCAATTTTTATCCACACTATATCATAATAATTCCAAATTAAATGAACAATTATAAGATTAAAAAACTTTATCAGACCCGGGAAGGCACACTATGTTCGGAAAAATATTTCAGGTTTAAATTCAAGATAAGCATCACAAAATTAGTTCGAATATGAGAAGCTAAAAGGTGAATGGATATTTGTTCACGATTTATCGGGGTTTGCAGAATGATGCAAGAGTAAAAATAGAATAATGATTCCAGAAAACACCTTCTTTACTTCTTACGTGATCAAATAATTTTTGTTCAAAGTCACGTAGCCGAAAGCTGGACTTTTGTGTCACTCTGTACAGATCTCCTGATTTCTACAAGTCACGTGTTACGCACCAGCCTCACTGGTAAGTTGCCACAAACCAAGAACTTGCTACGAAACATATATTTTCCATTTGACGTCAATGAGAGGTATCAAGTTCTAGAAATAGCAAATATTTGATTTGTATCTTAGGAGTCACGAGAATGTCTGAAACTTCTGAAACATCTGACATCACGCAGTGATCACGTGTTCACTCGGTATCACGTGTTCAATCGGTATCACATGTTCACTCGTGTTCACTCGGTATCACGTGTTCACTCGGTATCACGTGTTCACTCGGTATCACGTGTTCACGTGTTCACTCGGCACTGTCTTTTGTATACCATGACGTGTGCTGCATGGTATTAGTGCTTTTATCATAATAACAGTGCCGGTATATTCCACAATTCTCTGGTTGGAGACAAAATGAATCAGCACTGTTACCATGGTAACTCAAGTCAGGACTGTTACCATGGTAACTCAAGTCAGGACTGTTACCATGGAAACTCAAGTCAGCTCTGTTACCATGGAAACTCAAGTCAGCACTGTTACCATGGAAACTCAAGTCAGCACTGTTACCATGGTATCACAAATCAGCACTGTTACCATGGTAACTCAAGTCAGCACTGTTACCATGGAAACTCAAGTCAGCACTGTTACCATGGTATCACAAATCAGCACTATTACCATGGTAACTCAAGTCAGCACTGTTACCATGGAAACTCAAGTCAGCACTGTTACCATGGTATCACAAATCAGCACTGTTACCATGGTAACACAAATCAGCACTGTTACCATGGTAACACAAGTCATCACTGTTCACCATGGAAACTCAAGTCAGCACTGTTCACAAAGTCACCTCGGCTGTAGTTTGAGTCTTATCAGTGAAACCGAGTTTATCTAGTACTGGGAGCAGCATGACTAGTTCTATCTGAGTGGTGTTGGTGAGCTGGTTCCCCTCTGACACAGGATTACAGCGGTTATTTTCGCTCCTCTCCCTCTCCATACTGCTGGAAGGAGTCTGAGAGCTGAGTCCCTGGTTGAGCAGCCACACTCTATACTCTGTGATGCGGTGGTAGTAAACTACTGGATTCAGAGCTGCGTTCATCACTGTCAGTACTATCTTGGCAATGAGCCAGGAGTACTGTGACATAAACGCTCCTTTGAAGAATGGTTCTGGGTACTTGTAGTTTAGTGCTCGCGTCAGTATGTTCAGCACCTGATAAAGAGTATGAGATATAATAACAGATATTACTAACTCTGTGACAGGTAACTCATGAGATTGGTACCAGTGTTTATATTTCGATAAACAACCTGAGTTACTCAGTTACCAGCTATATCATAACTATGGTATATAACTTGAGATGGTTATGATACAGTTATATAATAGAAGATAGCTTGGTGATTGGATGGGAAGGAATCTTAACCACAGCTAAACACTTCCATCATGATTGGCGCCTAACTCAACCACTATATATTTGTAGTTGTCACTTTAAACCTATAAACTATTTTACTAGACGCCTGCGAACCTCCTTCAGTCTGTCCGTATCAGGCAATTATTAAACACTTCCCACACGTGATAAGTTTGCCGAGGTGCGTTTAGCGGCGGAACAATTTCTGTTTAAAAACGATTATTTTGGAGAACTTTCTCTGAGAACGTATCTCTGACAAGACTAAAAGTATAATAACCATGAGAGTGAAGAAGGGTAGGTTACAAAAAAGGAAGAGTCCAGTAAAGACGGCCACAGTTACACTGGCTCTCCTGTTCCTCCTCTTCTGGATAAAGTCGGGACAGTGCTTTGCCAGTTTCACCGCACACACTAGGAAACTGAAGAAGGTGATAATACTGGGGAGACCCAGCTCCAGAGTTGTTAACGTCTTCACTGTGGTCACCCAGGTGCTGTAGTTTGCTTTCTTACCGTGCAGTGGGGAGTCGGTGCAGAAGGGGCCTAGTGAGACGTACCTGTAAGAAGGACTTGTGAGGAGAACATATTAAGTTAAATACTGGTATTATAGTAAAGTAGTAAAGAATCTGGGTAACGATAACAACAGCAAAAATAAGCCGCGGCGAGAACAATAAAATAAAATTTACGCTGAAGCATAAATCCAGTGAATGATATTGTTTTTAGAACTGGGTAGAAATACCTGAAGCTGGAGAGATCCTGATGAACTATATCAATAACAACCAAAAGAATAGAGTAGATGATGAGAGCGGATATTGCTGCTATCCTGTGTAGTTTCATGAAGGGTATAGCTATTGCTATAGACCGGGACACACTCAACAACATCACCAGGAAGATGGAGATTCTCTGCAGGAACTTGAACAGAAGTGTCCAACCTGGGGAGAGTGTGGATATTAGGTAGGAGGGGAGGGGGAGTGTGGATATTAGGTGGGGGGGGGGTGGGCGTTCTCTTTCAGGTATTATAACTTCTTAACTGCAGATACTATGTCTAACAAAACTAACCCATTGAATATACTTGTAATAACCTGTAAAGGTAGCAACTTTACCAGGTACTAACCTGCACAAACAATAATACTGTCAAATAGCACAGGATTTCTAGAGTTGAGAAGGGAGACTGTGATAGGGAAGTGACTGAGACAGGTAACAATATCCACCAGGGTGATAGCTATGTAGAGCATGGTGGCCAGATCCCTGCTTCCTTTTGAGAGGAAATATTTGAGGGCTAGAATGTTGCCAGGGACACCGATAATGCTGCAGAGCAATAGGGTAGTTGCTAAGGTAACGTCCCACAAGGAAGCAGTGTTTAGGGTAGCTGGTACCATGACAACGTGACTATTGTAGTCTCCCGGCATACCGAACTAAAATTAGTAATATTAAGAAAACTTACTGATATTACTACTATTAGCTAGTTAGATTACTAAGCAAACTTACTGATATTATTACTATTAGCTAGTTAGATTACTAAGCAAACTAACTGATATTATTACTATTAGCTAATTACATTACCTACTAAGCAAACTTACTAATATTATTATTATTAGTTAGTTAGATTACTAAGCAAACTTACTGATATCATTACTATTAGCTAGTTAGATTACTAAGCAAACTTACTGATATTATTACTATTAGTTAGTTAGATTACTAAGCAAACTTACTGATATTATTACTATTAGTTAGTTAGATTACTAAGCAAACTTACTGATATTATTACTATTAGCTAGTTAGATTACTAATCAAACTTACTGATATTATTACTATTAGCTAGTTAGATTACTAAGCAAACTTACTGATATTATTACTATTAGCTAGTTAGATTACTAAGCAAACTAACTGATATTATTACTATTAGCTAATTACATTACCTACTAAGCAAACTTACTAATATTATTATTATTAGTTAGTTAGATTACTAAGCAAACTTACTGATATCATTACTATTAGCTAGTTAGATTACTAAGCAAACTTACTGATATTATTACTATTAGTTAGTTAGATTACTAAGCAAACTTACTGATATTATTACTATTAGTTAGTTAGATTACTAAGCAAACTTACTGATATTATTACTATTAGTTAGTTAGATTACTAAGCAAACTTACTGATATTATTACTATTAGCTAGTTAGATTACTAAGCAAACTTACTTATATTATTACTATTAGTTAGTTAGATTACTAAGCAAACTTACTGATATTATTTCTATTAGTTAGTTAGATTACTAAGCAAACTTACTGATATTATTACTATAAGCTAGTTAGATTACTAAGCAAACTTACTGATATTATTACTATTAGCTAGTTAGATTACTAAGCAAACTTACTGATATTATTACTATTAGTTAGTTAGATTACTAAGCAAACTTACTGATATTATTACTATTAGTTAGTTAGATTACTAAGCAAACTTACTGATATTATTACTATTAGCTAGTTAGATTACTAAGCAAACTTACTGATATTATTACTATTAGCTAGTTAGATTACTAAGCAAACTTACTGATATTATTACCATTAGCTAGTTAGATTACTAAGCAAACTTACTGATATTATTACTATTAGTTAGTTAGATTACTAAGCAAACGTACTGATATTATTACCATTAGCTAGTTAGATTACTAAGCAAACTTACTGATATTATTACTATTAGCTAGTTAGATTACTAAGCAAACTAACTGATATCATTATTATTACCTAGTCAGACTATAAGACTGTTATTGTCAATAACTAGCCGAACTAGCTGATAAGGATTATAACACTAACACCTAATAGTAATATGAGATGACAATGTCCTATGGCTAGTCGCTGCAAATTGAGAAAAAAGATAAACTCAGTTAGATATTGATTGTCAGAAGATGCGACTTGTAGACATTCCCCCTTTGAGACATCATTAAATAGTTACGGGAACACATTTACAAAATCAACAATTATAAATGGTTTTACCAGTAACCGATACTTAATAGCGCCCTCAAAGTTAAATTCAAATTCCATATCGATATTTTTTCGGAGAATATTGTTCATTGGTTATTGGTTAATGGTTACTGGGTAAATATTGTAAATACATCGTTTAGATATTAGAGAATGGAGATATTATATATTTTACAGCTGAGCAAGTTTAATCGTCCTGATCCGTAGTAATATTTATAAAGCAATCATTCTCACTTCAAACTACTAGTAACTAACTAGTAACTAAAAACCACTTTTCTCACTTCAAACAGTTTCGAGTTATCAGTTATCGAACATTCAATCTTACAGGTAGAAGAAGTTTTCAAACTTCTAAAAGTAACCGTAATTGGATGGACCAAAACACCAATTTCAATGTGTATATTAATTATATGCTGCTCTTTTATGTCACAATATCATGTTGTAATACAGTGGGGTTGCTGGTTACCAATATTAACGGTAACCAAGCTACTTGAACACCAGTACTACTACTGGAACACCAGTACTCTCTACTAATAACTAGAAACCAGGCAATAACAACTGTATGTGAGGCTGGACTCACGGAACATTGCAAAACACGTGTTAGTTGCGGGATACTCAGTAGTCAGAATGAGCTACCTAAATTGTGCTTTACCCGAACTATTGTGAGAGTAGTAGTATAGGCAGTATTGTGAGAGTAGTATTAGTAGTAGTATAGGCAGTATTGTGAGAGTAGTAGTATAGGCAGTATTGTGAGAGTAGTAGTATAGGCAGTATTGTGAGAGAAGTAGTATAGGCAGTTTTGTGAGAGTAGTAGTATAGGCAGTATTGTGAGAGAAGTAGTATAGGCAGTATTGTGAGAGTAGTAGTATAGGCAGTTTTGTGAGAGGCAGTGGAGAATATGTTGTTCAGTCTAATGCCGTCCATAAAAGGTTATGAACCGGAACTCTGTCTGACTATAAACATTTCACTATCTGAACAAGCAAGAAATCGATATCAAGTTTGTGCAACCGAATAATATTTTAAGGCATAATGACCATGGAGTTGATGGGTCACAGTTATATTAAACATACAAAATATATATTGGACATTATATCTGTGTTAAAGTGTTCTGGGGCAAATTAACATTTATTTGATGAACTGAGTCGTCTATCAAAGTGCATAATACTAGACTAACTGTTTATCAGCCTGACGACAGTTCAGCTCACCCATAAGTCATATCGTATTAAATTATTAAACGTCTAAATAATAATAATAAATTCTAATATCTGCACAACGCTTCGACAATCAAATTCGACAATTCACGCGCTTTTCCTGAAACTAGAAGCTTATTTCTTCTTACAAGCAGAACTGGCAACGCGTTATAAAAAGTAAATTATATGATACGAACACTATTCCGGATTTTTACTTGTGTTCCTGCAGCTGGCCATTAGTAAAAAGCTGGAGTGCTCAGAGAAACCATGCTGCAGGTAATTTAATAGATCGATATAAGTCGGCTGTATCATGGCGAGTTCAGGTGTTTATAACTATATAATTCTACGGCAGCTTGGGCTTTCAACTGTAATTTACTCTCTCTTTCTCTCCTTCTTTCTTTCTCTCAATTGACACTATTATATAATATATATATTTCATTGGCTGGACTTCTACACAATAAAAGAAAGCGGTTGTGATTATATTAGATCTTCGTAAGTCTTTGCATCATTTATTTACATCAATTCTCAAATTATTTGTTATATAGTAGTGTTGAAAGTATTAAAATATATATATTCCACAAAAGAAATGAGAACGCTCAAAGCTGGTGGCCACATATGTTTGTTTTGATCCTGCGGTATAATCAATATCTCAAATTGAGAGTATGCTAACTCCGTAATACGGCTTTGAGATCTCCAACACCTGGCTGGCAAAATCACAACTATTACTAGATACATGTATCACTAAGCAGTTTCATTAATTCGTATCAAAAGCACGGTACTTAACCCCTAAAAAGTGTTACAGTAGACACTGCTAGTAGCTAACTAGTAGTAGTATTAAGGTGCAAACTGTAAACGCGTGGACTGGCCACTTAATTAACAATTTACAGGGGGAACAGAGCAGAATTAGTAATACTATTGAGCTCCAATAAAGTCAGACTAATTTGTAATTTGCTCGCAGTTGCATTAAATCGAACTGTAGTACAGTAACGAAACCAGTTTAACTACCTTTTAGGTATACCAACTTGTACCTGACTACCTTTATAATTTATCACACAAAGTTTGTTAATCTGGGAACTGGTACCAGTTACTGCAGGTGCCCGCACTAACAGTTACCAGAGCAACCGTTACCATGGTTACAGTAACTTTATCAGCAGTTACCGCAGCAACAGTGACCAGAGTAATAGTAAACTGTAATCAACGTAACTAAAGCAAAGGGTAATAAGAAGAGGAAATTCGAGGATGCTGGAAATTGCCGGAAATTGAAAGCAATCCTTGGTTGTAGGTTTTATCAATTATAATATCAAAAGCCATGTAGGCACAATAAAACAGTGCTTACAGTCCGACTAACTGTGTTCATGTCCTATCTCAAATTTCAACCAATTTTCTGCTCTGCGAGCAGCAGTCACTGGTTGATATGCTGTGCGAGCAGTGCAAAGGTAATTGATATGAGCAAAGTTAGAAACGAGTTGGAATAAAATCAAAACGCACATTTCAAGAATTCACTGCGTTTTACGTAGCACAAATGTTTAAATTGTAAAAGGAAAACCCAAAATCCAGCTCTCACAAGTTCGTGGCGACGATATAACCGAGATAATGCCCACAGTTTTTTAATGACATAATGGTCTTTGTTTTAATCCTTGGTGTAAGGGGAGTTAGCAATAGCAACGGGTTTGCTGACCACAATAAAAGAATAAACAAGACTATAATGCTGAGTTATATGACACTGTAGATATTTCACAATAATGACTGGACGATTCTTTATAAGCTGCATATTACATAAGCTGCATGCTTTTTTCTAGTAGGTTGACTCTTGGATGAATTAACACTACGAATTGATTAAAAAAAGGAACATTTATTATATTTCTAAATTTGTTGTACATTAATTAAATTTGTTTTTTTGGGACTACATTGTTTTTGTTTCATGAATTCTACAAAAGAAACTGACATCAGCACAGTAATCTAATAGTAGTATCTGGTATCGACTGTTCCACTTCCAAGTGGTCCGTGGTATATTAATATAGGAAATCCAAAATGTTACGAGTCAACGCTTAACTAACGCGTTGATTATCAAGAAAACAACAAATTTGTATGTTTATCAATTATATGGGGCAGGAATGTATCAGGAGTGTGGTGACTTGTACTATTGAGTAGTTAAGAGAATAAGATTAGTAAACATGCTGTCAACTGTGGTATTGTATCTGAAGAAACTCTAAATTAAGCTATATACGCTGCAATGTGTGCG